TCTGAACACTGTTTGTGTTCCTTCTGTTACAACCCTTATCCCACTGAATCATTACTACTGGTATATGCACTAGCCTCCCCTAGAGTACTACAAGCTACTAGACAGAGCTACAATAGCTACAGTACTACAAGTACTTGTACAAGTACTACAAGAGCTTGTAGCTACAGTACTACAAGCTAAAGACAGAGAATGTGTCTAGCATAGTGCCTGGGACATAATAGACACGACTGTGCAGGTCTGAGAGGGAATTTATTTTTAAAAAGATAGCCAACAGAGAACTTTGCAGGTGCTAGGGAATAAGGATAACATGAAATAAATTTTTAAAGATTAGTCTCTCACTTTACTGTAGTTTTGAGTCCAACAGAAAGTAAAACTGGATAAATAAGCCCAAATTCTCTCCAGAGCTCTAAAAACTTGACTGACACTCAAAGGCACTTATAAGTTACTTTTATATAAACATTTGGCTAGGGGCACCTGAGTGGCTCAGTCAGTGACACCAAAGTGTCTGACTTTGTCTCAGGTCATGATCTCGCAGTTCATGGGTTCAAGCCCCGCGTTGGGCTCTGTGCTGACAGCTCAGAGCCTGGAGTCAGCTTCAGATTCTGTATCTCCCTCTCTCTCTGCCCCTCCCTCACTCACGCTGTCTCTCAAAAAAAAAAAAAATTTAAAAATTTATAAACATTTGGCTAAAATTTTTAAAAATCTGTTTCCCAGGTTTATTACTATCAGTCTTTTGCTATACACAGATAATTAAAAATAAAAATTAATACAATCTGCAAAATCAAGAAAAACAAAGTCTTGTTCAAATTCAACCAGTTCCTTTTTACTATGATTTGGAAGGAAGGAAGGAAGGAAGGAAGGAAGGAAGGAAGGAAGGAAGGAAGGAAGGAAGGAAAGAAGAAGGAAGGAAGGAAGGAAGGAAGGAAGGAAGGAAGGAAGGAAGGAAGGAACAAACGAAAGAAAAGAAGGAAAGAAAAATTAAGGACTTCTATTAAGGTTAGTATCCTAATCTCAAGACATGAAAAGTATCTCATGGTAGATAGCAGAAACATAGGCAATTTAAAGCCAAGAACATTCTATTCCCTTGAAGCAACAAGTCCCTCAAAATTCTGATATGAAATTTTTCCATATTTAAATTCTATGTACTATTGAAAGTATGCTGGTAACTACCTGATCTAAGAGAAAACACTATAAAGTAAGTTAACCAAACTACCTGATGGTCTACTGGAACAGTCTTCCAAACAGAAAAACAAATGTCAGAAGTAATCTATTTGCTTCTATACAACATATTTTAGACAACCTTCAACTGGAATTAAAACCACACTTTCCCAACAGAAAAACGTTTAGCAAAACAATACCGAGGACTGCTAAAATCTAAAAGAATCCTATAATGAGATTTGGGATTTGGCCTGGGGGGGCGGGGGGGGCGGCGGTACTTAAACATCATTAGGCTCTAGCTGCAAAACAGACAAGTTCAGTTAGAACGGTAGCACTGCATCTGCAGCCAACAGTAATCATCATCAGGCTAAAGAAAGGCAGGTTTTTCTTGCCATCTTTATTCAAGTATTTCACAGCAGTTATATTACAAATTACAGTAAATGTTCAAAATTCCAGAATTCAAAAATTAAATAATTTACTTCAAACTAATGTAAAATGAAGTCAAATGCAAAACATCAATTTAACACAATTCTAAATTAAACTATAAACCCAAAAAAGACCATAGTTGATGAAGTCTACTTAATCTACAAAGTAGACATACGTGACTGAAACCAAAGAGGACTCCCAAAGTCTAAATAACTGAATGTACAAAATACAAAAGATGCAGGTACACGCCCAAATTCAAGCTTACAATGTGATTACAAATAATAATTATAATAACAATGGCATTCAGCTACGGGACCTGACACTGAAGATAACCTACCGAATAGCACCATAGCTGAACCAACTTAATCAAAAATGGGAAGATATTACCACCCCACTCCCTAAAAATAAAATCCAGTAAACCTACAAATACATTGGCATATGAGAGAAATCAAGTCATGAAAGGACATAAAACAAAACAAAACAAAATTAATCACAGGTGAGATTCAAGCTCAAAAACACAATTAACTCCACAGCCATCAGTTTCAACCCTAGTGCGGTTCCATCATCTTCAAAAAGCTCCCATGGTCCCCACAGCTGAGCATTAACCATTGTTGGGCTGTGCTGTGATACATATTTTACTGATCTGAGAGCAAAGTTTTACATAGGAGCTATCATTTATAATGCTCACAATAGGAAATAAGAACAGAGGTCAATTTGTACATATTTTCGCCAATGCTATACAGCAAAAATTAAGAACTTACATAAAGGTAAACAAAATTGAGTCCACTTGGATAATTTCACAAGCTGCTTTAAACTATAGAACCACCAAATATCTGTAAAGTAAGCAAAACTGGTATAGTGTGTGGTTTTTGGGGGGGAGAGGGGGCAGAAGGGGAGCAGAGGAGTTGATATAATTTCAGCTAATTTTTCTCCCCTTGGCATTAGACTGGCTTTCTCTTTAAGACCTAAACTGTTCAAAGTGGCAGTTCCTATCATACTGAGGGTGCCTCCTATTTCTCCATCTATATCAAGGTTAAAATAAAAAAAACTTGATCTTTTGGAAGCATTTTAATGCTAAACATAAATAAATTTCCCTTGTCAAACCCACTGATGGCTAAAATCTTAATTAACTTGTACAAATTTAGTAACCTACTAAGAACATGTGCGTTTTTTTTTTCCTTTCACAAGTGCTGCTGTTACTTGAACAGAATGCTTCTGAATTAGAGTAACTGGAATAAATATTTAAAAAAAAATAGTGCAGCAAGAACCTGAGACTTGCAAAAAACCCTTTTAGCAGAAACTTGCTACAAAAAATCTGCTACATCTTATTTCATCAAATCTTTAAATTCTGTAACAATTTCCATCAAAATACAAAATGCTAATGTATTAGACAGTAAAATAGTCTGAACTGGTATGATGGTAATAAATACTAAAGAAAGCATGAAAATCCTCCCAATAATCAAATTAGAGGTTTCAAATAACCTCCCCTTTAAAATGGTTCATCGTTAATCGCACTTGCCCACCTTAAAAATACAGTGTGTCTACACGGGTAGCATCTTGAATTACATGACTTAACTGAATATTATGAAAACTTCATAGACTAGGTATAAAGAAAAAAGTGGCATTTCTTAAAAAATTAAGCTATAATTAGAAGGCGCAAAATGTTAATGTAAATGCCAAGAAGCACTTAAGATTACTGCAGTAGCCTACGGCCAACGTGTGCTTTCTGCGCTGGCATTGGGCACACTCCAAACAGCCAGAGACAAGGAGACAAGTACCTTAGCTTCAGCGTGTAAACGGTGGCAAAGTGATTACAGGACTCTGTAAACACTACTGGTAACTAAAATACAAAAAGCTGAGGTAGCTCAGTATCTCTGCAGTAGTCCAAGACCATTTGCTCTAATTAAAACCCAAACTATATGTGTTGCATATATTGGAAAGACACACCGGCAGCTAACGGCTACAATGAATGAAGTTATCAAGCCAACTTGTCAAAATTTTCTACTTTTTTTGTTTAAAAATCATCTGATAAAAAAATGTCACTGCACTCCCTTTGCCTCTTTGCAACTGCCTAGACTGTGTCTCCAAATTTGTAGAAAGTTTTTGTAAAACTAGTAACCCATAATTAATTTTAGGTAAGTACAATTCAGAGAAATCACTCAACAGGGTCCAAAACGGGTTCCAATCAAAATGAATAGTTGTGAAGGTAAGCTTATGGTAAGGGATTTAAACATTAATACTGTTAATGTCCATTAATGTCCATTAATTCAAGGACCATACCAGAGCTCACCTGCAACTATGCATATAGAATATGAACTTTATGGAGCTTCTAGACAAATTCCTCTTTTCTGTCCATTTGGCAAGTCCTGGCTTTAAAACAAAACAGTAACAATTTACTATACACGAAATCATTCTTCTCTGGGAACTCAAACATGAATAACTATTAAATTGCCACTGAGAGAAGAAAAAAATGTCATCTATCTATTTTCTGGCCATCATTGTCAGCAATGCTGGAAACGTGTGAGTTTTTTGGTGGACTGGGTAGTATTTGTTGTTGTTGTTTTATTACATGTTTCTTAAACAGAAACAGACCATACAGGAAAACTTACCATTTTAGTATATATCATGTGGCTTAATGAGTGTCTTCATTGAGTTTTGAAAACAAGATAGGCATTTTATACCAAAACACTGGTTGCCTCTCAACGACACAGAGTATCAAAACTTATTTTCAAGGTTGTGACCAAAGAGACATTCTAACTGATTTGCTACAAACAAGCCCATCCTTTTGTTTAGCCTTACCTTTCTCAAATGAATTAAAAGGCACGTTAAAGGCAGTTCTAAAGAGCCTAATCTAATTTCATCCAGTTTCTTCAGTTTCCCACCAGAATATACCATAGCCAACTCTAAAACAGGTTTCAGTCCATTACCCAGAGGAAAAAATAAAAACAAATACGCTAAAAGGAGCAGAAAGGAGGGGAAGGAAAAAAACAAAAACAAAAAACAAAACAGGTTGCCCACTGTTTAAACAATTCAACACAGTTAAGAGAACTGCCCCATCCAGTTTCCTCGAGTTTGCTGGTCTGCTCCCTAAGAGAGAAGTCTCCAAAAGAGAGTGCACGAAAAGAGGAGCAGAAGTGAGAGCAGTTTCTGTAGCACCAAAATCTCCAATCTGTGGGGTTGTATTTTTTATTTGTGGAAAATACAACACGTTTCTGAAGTTCTGTTTGGTTCTTGTAGGCTGGTTGGTTTCAGGTACCTGAGACAATAGCACCAAATTCAACAGAGAGAAAGAATGAGTGAGAGAGCACTTTACACCAAGGCTCTGCACATAATTGGTGCAATTTGAAATTGAATGGCTCAGAAGACTGCTCTGTCAGGAGCAGATTGGAGAGGATAAACCACTCATCTTGAAAAGTTCATAGGAATGTCTCAAACATATGAACTGTTCTTTCCATCTCCTACAAGGGGAAAAAAAAGTGCATGTTATCTATTAAAGGAAGGACAAAAGTATTATGGGAAAATTCACTCTAACTTTTTAGAGAAAGAAATTTAGATACAAGTTAAGCTTTAACTATTTTCCTAATTATAATACGGGAGCTTCTCTGTAAGACTATCTTATCTGCCCTAGACACTTCCAAATGCCTCCCATTGGATATTTAGGCGAATGGATGATGCTAGTACCACTCAATGAGTATGTATTGTGCCAGATATTGTACTAAGAGATTTATGTATATAAATAATTTGTCAGCTAATAAACAAAAGAGTCTATTTGAATATAGGTAGCCTTACTCCAGAGCCTGAGTCCTTCCTTTACTCATATTCTCCCAAAGCAAAATGAATGTACTCAGCCTAGTAAAACTTGTACCCAAAGTAGAATGCACCTGTTCCCACTGCAATTCACTCTAATCAGAGCTGAAAGAAAAAAGAAGGGAAAAAAAGAGAGCCAGAAATAGTCACTGCCATCACCACCAGAAATGCCACTCACTGGTGATTCTGCTATAGCTCCCTTCCCTCCCTAAACAAAACCCCTAGATTATAGAGGTCCAAGTCCCCTACTGAAAAATGTTTCAGTACTAAAGAGTATTCAATACATTCAAGCTAATCAAATGTCAATCATGTGAACAAACAAGTTCTGGGTGGGTGGGGTTGGGGGGTAGTAAAGAACTCTACCCTACACATTTCACTTAGATGGCCAAGTGTCAAATACATCTAAGGCATCTGGTACATCTCTGTATACAATTAATAGGCCAGATTATCATTGATCAAAAATTTCTCATATATGATCAATAAAAATCACTTTTGCTAAATGTTTCATCATCTTACTACTGAATAAGAAAAAAAAAGTCAGGTTATAAAACAATATACAATATGACCTCAATTTTTAAATATACATTCACATACTTTGCTCTCTTCCTTTGATTCAAGTCCAATATTCCTTATTACACATGAAAAATAATCCCATCCTCTGCATACAAATCTTTAATATACCAGAAATGCTCCTGGAGAGCAGGGACTGTCTTATTCATGTTTTGCAGCCCAAACATCTAGCACAGTATCTGGAACTATAGGCATTCAATAAATATGTAATAACCAGATCACCAGATAAATAAGCTAACAGGCAAATGAATAGGGAGTCTAAGTCACTTAGCCATTTAGTGGGTTTCTATTTGCTCAGATGACTTCAAAAAGCAGAAGTGTGGCTTGATGATGTAAACTGTATGAACAGATATGAGTTCCTATTTATAAAGAAGAACTCACTTATGGCCCGAAGTTGTCTAGAAAGGGAACAATTCACTTTAAAAGTGCCTAAACAAAAGAACAAGCACTCCTTTGTGCAGCCATTTCATAGGACTAGATCTGATTAATGAGATGCCTTTTAAGTTCTCTTCTAATCATTAATGGGGTGGCAAACAGACCTCACTGCCCAGGCCCATTCCTTTAATCAGCAGTGGCTGCCTTGATAGCACTGGTAAGGACTGTAAGGCCATCCCCACATTCAACTGGCCCAAGTGATATGTTTAGTGATGTCAGTAACAAGAAAGGGACAAGAGAATTGTGGCATGCTCTTCTGTGTATTTCCTAACCCAGAACCACGAATTTCTGTGTTTTCATAAACAAAGAATCTCAGATTACTTCTGTCCTGAGACAAAATGATACAGTAAGGCTTTATTCTTCAAACTATAACTCTTAATGAGTCTTCTAATCTTAAATCTTCAAAACATTCTTCAGTTACGTGGTGAAAGATAGAGACTAACTTTTTTCCCTTTTTTGGAGGAGGTGGGGTGGACAAATAAAAGCACGTATCTGTTTAAGGATGCACTGAGCACTTACCTCTACAAGTTGTGATTTGTCATAATCTTTACGATGACGATAGATGCACTGACTAAGAAGAGAATATAATCTCTCAAGTTGATCAACTGCCAGATTGTTGCTTTTATCTACCAATAAATCAAGCAATTTCTAAGAAAAATTAGAAGAAAAGAGAATAAAATAAAGTTTGTTTTCATTGTTCACACTGAAACAATTATATTCAAATGGTTAGGTAAGAGACACCACAGGCTATAATGTAACAGTGACACCTGATTTTAGAAGATTCTAGGGCTTAGTTTATTACCAAGACCATTTTCTAAATCCCTCAAAACACAAAAAACTCTTTTTTTTTACTAGAAGCCCCAAAGCACTTATATTCCTAGGTTATAGCAAGAGATTATCAAAACTAGCTTTGTTCAACTGACTACAAACATATTGAAATGTGTTTCCATTCATTTAAAATTGACGATGGGGGGACAACACCTGGCTGGCTCAGTCAGAAAAGCATACAACTACTGATCTCGGGGTTGTGAGTTCGAGGCCCACATTGGGTGTAGAGATTACTTTAAAATAAAATCTTTAAAAAAATAAACTGGGAATAGCTAAGCTTACCTTCAATCTCTCATGATCAACTATAACAGGTGGCACAGGCTCAGAGGGCTCTTCTGGAACCAGTTCCAGGCTTGTTGTTTTTGCCTGCTCTAAAATTAACTTACGATATTTCTTTACTTTAGAAGCACCTACAATTGAAAAAAAAAATGCACTGCAGCAAGTAAAAGTTAAGAAAAATCAGGCTTAAACAACTATAAATTCTTTTACCCACCACAAAAACTTTTTGGAATAAGGGTATATTCTTTAAATGGGAAACGATTTTTTTTGTAAGAATAAGTAGCCCACATTAAAGAGAACTAAACCACAACTATGAAAGCCAAGCCATACTAGAAGATCATCTAATAAACATATCCACTTAAAGGAAGAGAAAAGCAATCTTCACCTCTAAGCACTAACTTATAAAGCAGTCTTCACTCTTTTTATGATTCACTCTTTTTACTACAGCCATCATTTTATAATTTGGAGCTTGCAGCGGTGCCGGGGCGGCTCAGTCTGTTAAGCATCCAACTCTTGATTTCAGCTCAGGTCCCGATCTCACAGTTGTCAGATCAAGCCCCACACTGGGCTCCATGCCGAGCATGGAGTCTGTTTGGGATTCTCTCTCTCCCTCTCTCTCTGCCCCTCCCCTGCTTGTGCTCTGTCACTCTCAAAATAAATAAACATTTTTTAAAAATTTGGAGCTTTCAGAACTGGAAGAGGGGAAGGAACCTAGAAAAGCAGATGCAAACACCAAGTAAGGCCAACCTATCTTCATTATTTCCTTGCAAAGAAAAAAAATCTTCCTCAACATTAACTGAAATTTCTTATTTTTCTCTTTTACATTGCCCAGAATTCTATTAGAAATTGATCTGGGTTATGACAATTTTCCTTAAAAATATAAGCCTGTTTAAAGTATAATAGGGCTAGTGATCTTTCCTACCTTAGAGTGAAATACTATAATCTAATTATTTTCCTCTCAACATCATGCCAAGACCAGCCACACTACAAAGAAAACAAATTCTGAGGTGGCTGAGCATGATCTGACAGCACCAGGCACTCCAAGGGCTAGCCAGGGCTGGAGGCCATCAAGCCCTATGCTCCCCTCTGTCTGCATACTCTATGAGAAGGCCTGGGGGAAGGAACACCAAGACAAACTAAACTATTTCAGAACTCTATACAGGACTGGCCCACATCACAGACACCAAGGAGAACCTTTCCCCTCCCTCCTGCCTTAATCCTCTTATTCCCACGTCTTCAAACAATTCCCTCTCATCAATGCCTGCTAGACAAATAGTAAAAGAACTAAAAATATTGCCTTCGAAAACAAATACCTCCATGTAGCAGAGAAACTGTATATTTCAGACAGGCTTTAGAGTGAAAGCCTTGTTTTATAGTTCAATTAACATATGCGAAGAGTTTTGTTAAGACCTTACTGACCTCATTACCCTATGTACGGACATCCAGGAGCCTGACAGCTTGCACTAGGTAACACTGCCCTCCCTGACATTTACAAGTGAAAACTTCAGGTAAAGCTTTTACACAACAAATATCTTTAAAGTTTTTAGGTAATCAATTGAGCATAATATTAATTTAAACCTTTTCTGCAAGCTCACTAAAATCTCATAGTGAAGAACACTAAAAAGGATTCCTTGCCTCGTACCCACAGTGACTCATCAGAAAGAGCTCTCCCTTTCTCCCACTCTGTCCCAGTCATTACTTAACCCTAGCTTCAACACATTTTTAAAGTTCTGACCGTATGATAAATAAATAAATACCAAAATAAACACTGCTCTTAAAACTACCTTCTATTATTGAAGAAAAAGAAAAATTCTCAATAGGTAGCATTTAAGAACAGTGTACACACACACACACACACACACACACACACCCCTACCTATCTCTTTATCCATTAAAAGAATTCTAAGACTTTGAATTTTATTTTCCTACTTCCTAATTCTGCTAAAGGGCTCAAAAACTGGCAGCAAAAAACTTTTCCCACATAGCCCAAATCCCAGGCTAAAGCTATATATAACTCCGCACAATTTAGAGAGCATGACAGAATTTCAAAATAGCCTTGTGTTAGAAGAGTACCTATTCAGGACAGAAATGTATATTCAAAGGGTAGATCTCTAACTCACCCCATCCCACTATGGGCCAAAGAATGAAAAACAAACTAAAGCTAGGAAACCCCAGGCCCCCATTACTGCTTCTTCTTAAAAGAATCACATAGCCACGGGAAGTCAGAAGCTGGCAGAGTGCTCTGAGTCTGTGAGAACAAGGTAGATCTGACAGTGCTCATTCTACCGTTTCCTATACCAATGGCCTCACAAAGCAATGGAGCACCTTAGACTCAACATCCCTCAGATTCAACAGTGAATGCCTGGAATGAATATACCTCAGTATGTGTCAGGTACCAGAACAGGTGATTAATATACATGACTTACTTAATCTCTGCAGTGACACAACTCTAAGTTTAATTCAGAAGATGGAAAAACAGGTTTGGAGAGTGTAAGTAACCAGCTCAAAGTCACATGATTATAATGAACAGAAGTGGTAATTTAACATGGGTCTACAAGAGTGTAACATACCATACTGCTCTAGTATCCAAGTCTTCTCAGCCCATGCCTACCCCACCCCACCCCAATAATTCTTATCAGAATTCCATCTTAACACCTATGGGTTTACTTTAGCCATAAATCCAATAGGATCGGGATGACAATCAGGTGGGAAGCAAAAGAGTAAGCAGACAGGAAAGCAACACATTCTGGGCCATAAACCCTCTGAAACTTCCACCCAAATGTAGTATTCACGTGTTCACTTTTCTAGGGAAAGAGATGAAAACTTTAACAGATTCTCAGAGAGTTATAACTGCTTATCAACTACCGCTACTGATGACCAGACAAAATAAGCAATTAGTTAACTCAGGAGTTTAAAATTTCAGGTTTTTTAAAATATTCGTTCTACCTTCTTTATCCAGTTCTGCATCTTTAACCTCCACATCAGGGCCAGGTTCTAACTTCTCATTATTGGTACATTCCAGTGCCTCTAGTTTCTCAGGATCATCTCCAAGATGTTCATTTGAAGTTTCTGGTTTTTCTTTTGACTGGTCCTCTGGGAGAATCTTTTGTTCAGAACTACATTTATCTCCACTACCACAGAAAGAAACAACTTCAGCTTTGCCATTCTGACACTCCAGAACTGGTATTCCTTCAAAACTGTCGGTGGAGGCCTCACCATTTACACAGCTTCCTTTAAGGAAAGGCTCTTTCCTAGATGTCTGCTCTGGATTTAGAGAACTGCTGCTGTTGACGAGTAGAGACTCATTGGAACTCTCTTCTTCAGTAGATGCAAAGTTCTCCTTCGTGCCGGCTCCATTGTTAAGCCTCTGCCCCTGGTCCATGTCCATGATGTCACATGATGATTCATCATTGGTCATAGAAAGGTCTCCCGTCTCTTCTCCATTTTCTTCATGGCAGTCAGTGCTTACCTCAAACTCTCCATTCTCTAGCAACTTCCTGTCCTCTGTATGGTTCTCATAGTCTGCAAATTTGGTGTCCTCTTCATCTTTTTTTAAATTATTGACTTTCCTTTTCTTAATAATTCCTTTACCCCACTGTGATCGCCGCCTCGATTTTCTCCGAACTCGAACTATTTTACAGGGGAGGAAAACAGATATGTAGAACTTGGGAGTGCAATACTTGTTTTACAAATGTTCACTAAATAAGACCCAAAAGAAAGTAAACCGCCCCCCGCCCCCAAAAAAGAACATAAAAGAAAGTAAACCCATACCGGTATAACACACAAAAACTACTTAGCTCTTGACATCCATGCTGACTAATCCTCACAACTTACAAGTAGAATGAATATGAAGTCAGAGATGAACTCTGAAGAATGAAGTTTTTTTTTTCCTGAAGAATGAAATTTTTAAAAGTTTATTTCCTGTAGGAGTTTACCCAGCATTAATTATTTTCTATTATCTTAAATTTACAACTATTCCTAATTCCTAACATCCAAGGACCATGCATCTATTATGTACATTTCAGAAATGACCACATTACCAGTCTGCCTAGAAAGTTTGGGGCCATAGCCCTGGATTTCCACCAGGAAGGTAAATGCTTTGCCAGCATCACCCAAAAGCTCCTAAACCATGAAAGAAAATGAACACATGCTCCAGTATATCAAGGTAGAATAGTTACAGGTATCCCACAAAGAATTATCTATTACATCTCCTTCCCGAAGAAGGAATCCCCACAGTTAAGTATAGTCATGGATAGAAACCCTATGATGGTTATAGAGGACAATCTGGTTAACCAACTGTTAAGTCTCCTCTACTATAAATGGTTCATCAAATAGGATCAATTGGTTACACAGTTGTTATTTTAAAATATGGGGGAAAAAATTAAGCCCTCTGCTATCAAGGTAGCAACAACATTAACAAAACACTGAAAATAAATATTTGGTCAGTTATATGAAAAGGAAGACTCACAAAAATTGAAAATACTGTATTTATCTTTAGATGCTAGAAACCATCATGAGCTTTATGAGTACTTCCAGCTAACAACAGGCTCAGGAATCTTTAATTCCCCAAATATGCGTTTACATACTTTTTCATCCTTTCACCTTTAATCCTTATTGAGTCTCTGTATGTAAAGACACCAAGGTATTCACAGGGAAATGGACAAATGTTGTTATAAATATTACTCTTCTTTCTTATCTAAGAATAAATCTACTAAAGATTTCTGAAATTATTTCCAAAATTCAAGTTATTTAGTCACTTGGTTCAAACTATATTTTGCCTTCAAAACCATATCATTTGAATCATCTCACCATTTCATTTCCCCCTACTAATTTCTATTTTTATAATTTACAGTTACAGGGTAATTGGAGAAGAAATTTATTAGTTTACTGTTAAAAGCTGTACATAAGCTAAAGTGATGGGCATTTGTTAAGCATTCCATTAACTATATGAAAAACTAATCCAGTACACGTTAAAAATGGGGAAAAAAATTCACCTTGTTCTTTCTCTAAAAGGTGGAGCTGTTAGGTTTTTACTACCTGACAAGTCACTCCTGACAGTGTGACCTCACTTATTCTCCAACCGTGCAACCAAAAGTACAAGAGGTTCCCCTTTCCCTTCCTCACTAAGCTACAGAACTCTAGAACAAGTAGCAGCTCAACTCTGCTCAATCAAGAGCCAGCTCAATTGTTTGATCTGTAGTACACTAAGCAAAGGCTGTAGAAGGCCTACTGAAGCAAGTTTATTTCTAACACTTTCATCCCAGCTAACAACAACAAAAAAATGTTCTCACTTGGGAGGATGTCAAACTAGAAATATTTTTCCCCTTCTTATAGAATTATTTCTAGTGGTTAGTGTGATTTTGGCAAAATAAGAGAACTTGATCATATAAGCTCCACAGGAATAGGGAATTTTGTGTTAGGCGCTGCTGTAGCTCCACAGCACCTGGCATATGGTAGTATATACATTTATGGAACTAATCTTTAACATACCACTTCCTTTCACGGGACACTTTGTGTGAAAAAACCAATACAGGGGCACAATCTTTACAGTCAATTTTTATAGCCTCTCTGAGCTTGTCTCCAAAACTAAGACCTCAGGAAAGCAACTCTCCCTTAGGGATATTTAGATCTATTAATTCAAGTAACTTAATGTAAAACAGACAAATGATAAGTCACATATGCCATCTACTGGTAAGAGAAAACAAAACTCACATTTGTAGATTAAAATAACATTTTAATGTTTAAAGGAACTTAAACTGCTTAAAGCCAATTTTCAATGGGTTTTAGTTAATAAATATTTGTATCAGATATAGAGAATGTACAGGACTTCAAAGTTTAAATTAGAGTGCTATGTTCTATAATCCAGATGATGATCCAAGATACAACTACACCAAATAGCTTTAATCAGTTTCATGGAACCAAATATACTACTAAATCCTCAAAATTTCTCACATATGAATGCCACTTATCACAAAGACAAAAGCTAAAACAATGAGTATGTTTCATCCATTCGAAGTCAATGCCACTGGTGAACGAACATATTATGGCCAGCTTTACTGACAGTTTCAACAGTATTGCCACTTTTATACCAGAACAGTATGGCTAACCTCAGTGAAACATATGGTCTATATTAGGAAGATGCTGTGTTCGTTAACATCTGTCTTCCGGAAATCTTATGTATCACCATGAATGAGGAAAAGTGAAGAAAACTTAGAACTAGTACTAAATTTTCCCTAAGTGTATCTCACTTAAACAAAAATAGATTAAAAGGGCTGTACACATTTTTCAAAGTGAGCACAAGATAGTCTCTCAGAAAAATGAACCTCCTACTGTCAGCCACTCCCTTAAGTCAAAGTTTCTACTCTCCACCATAAAGAGGATATCTGGTACATTATAGAGCAAGGGTTAGGACTGGAGGCAGGGGTGGATGAAAAGTCTGTTGGCTCCACATCTCTACCCCAAATCCAAAGTTTAAGACTGAAAATATTCAAACCTAGTTCAACACCCGCAAGTACTGAATATAAACATAAAAGAGCAAATACGGTTAGAGAAGCATGTTCCTCATTCAGCATCCGACCCCACAAGCCCTTCCCCTCTGAACAGAGAAAAGCTGAGAAGATGTGTGGGGAAACAACAGCATCTGGTTTGTGTCCCCCGTTCCTAACAAATCTGCATCCTTCTCAGGTGTCCCCACTATTGGATAACAGGGTCTCCTCAAACACTCACATGCACATTTATTTGCAGAGTTGTGCCAGACATCCAATGGATTTCTTTGTTTGTGCCGAAATGCCTCTTCAACTCTAGTTTCTGTCTTCCGAGCTCCAGTGCCATGAGGATTTATTTGTTCTGCTGTTACCGATAAGCCTGCAGGCAGAAGATAAGCAACACCCATTTAAATATTCCTAGCTACATAAACCAACAAGGTTAAAAAAAAAAAAAAAAGTTTGAAATATAGAACTAAGTTTTAGTCATTAATTATACCTGGACAGTTTGTAATTTGGATGAAAAAAGCATCGTTTGTTTTAAGATGGAAAAGAAACTAGATATAAAATCATAACAGAATAACCTAGCAGGCCATGCTTAACACATAATCCTTAAAGGAACCCTATGTTTACTCGGTTTAATTTGCAAAGGCACACATTCTTATGACTGTAGGACAACGATAATATATGGTCTAAAAGTCATTATTTCTGCCATCTTAGAATGTAGTAAGTGTCTGTTGGTCCATTAAACCCCATTCACATGAATGGGTTAGCTGGTGTTAGCTGCCTGTCACACCACACTGCAGTAAGTTTGGTTTTCCGATATTATCTTCCTAAGAGTAACCACTCCATCTCAATTTCCTTCACTAGACTTGTTTCTTCTAGGTGGTCCTTAAATGTTGATGTTTCCTAGGGTTGTCTCTGAAATCCCTTTTCTTCTCACTCTGATCTATACCTTCTACCATAAAGTATCATTCATGCCTTCAGCTTCTACTACCACTACATAATAATTCCCAAATCCATGTTTACCCCAAGCATGTCTTGAGTTTCTGACCCATATATCCAACTGCCTCTTTGATATCTCCAACTAGATATCCTAAAGATAGGTCGAATTAAAGATAACTAGTTTATCTTTCTCCACAAAAAAACCTGTTCATCCCTATCTCTATGGAGTTATTCCCTATCTCTATTGGTAGTATTAGCATCTACTAAGTCATTAAACCTGTAATATGGCAGCCAATTTTGACTTTTCCTTCCCTAACAATGCCCTCTTCGATAATTAAAACTCTGGACAGCTCCAACAGTTTTTTTCCTCCAAAAGCTTTACTGAGATACAATTTACATAACATAAAAATCACTCATTTTAAGCATGCAATTAAATGATTTTAGTAAACTTACAGAGCTATGCAATCACCATAACTATTCCATGCCACCACTAATCTACCCTTTGTCTCCACAGACCTGTCTTTTGTGAATGTTCCACATAAACGGAATCACACACAGGTGGTCTTTTGTGACTAGATTCTTTCCCTTAGGATAATGTTTCTGAAGTTCATCTATGTTGTACCATGTATCAGTACTTGGTTCTTTTCTGTGGCTGAGCAGTATCCGTATACCATTTGCTTACTCATTCACCAGCTGATGGGACATTTGCGTTCTTTCCAGTTTTTAGCTGTTATGAATAGTCTTTACATGGGCATGTGTTTTCATTTCTCTGGGGTGTTTCCTAGGAGTAGAATCACTGAGTCGTATGGTAAATGTTATGCTTAATTTTTTAGAAACTGCCCAACTGTTTTCCAAACTGGCTCCAACAGTTTTTTAAATTGTCTCTCATCTTCCTATCCTGCCACATTGAGACCTTGCTATTTTCCTGCTGCCATAGCAATGTACCAATTCACTCCACAGCTTAAAATACTTCAACGACACATATTTTTTTTTTTTTTTTTTTTAAATTTTTTTTCAACGTTTTTTATTTTATTTTTGGGACAGAGAGAGACAGAGCATTAACGGGGGAGGGGCAGAGAGAGAGGGAGACACAGAATCGGAAACAGGCTCCAGGCTCTGAGCCATCAGCCCAGAGCCCGACGCGGGGCTCGAACTCACGAACCGCGAGATCGTGACCTGGCTGAAGTCGGACGCTTAACCGACTGCGCCACCCAGGCGCCCCTTCAACGACACATATTATGGCAATGATTCTCAACTTTAGCATACAAAAAAACCACTTGACTAGTTTGTTAAAGTGCAGATTTCTCAGCCTCACTCCTCTCGGAGAATCTAACTCACTAAGTCTAATAAGCTGATGTGGGTATTAGGCACATACATTTTGAAAGACACTGACCTACAGGATAAAGTCTAAGCTCCTGAGCATTGGCATTGATTCATTCAAATATTTATAGGACAGAGTTCCAGGGACTTCAGCAGGGCTGTGAACAAACCATTCACAACACTTACATTCCAAATAAGGAAGAGAGACACCCCCCCCCCCAAAAAAAAAAGACAAAACGCCACATGCTATGATATCCAGACCCTATATTATAAGATTCGGTGACCCGGGAGGGCCTAAGGAAGTAGAAAAAAAGCTTCTTAATTTTAATGTCCTGGACTCCGCTCATCTCTTGAGCTCTATTTCCCACCATTCTGTACAGCTTCAGCAATACCAAACCGTTTTCAGTTCTTCAAATACACCATGTTATTTCACATCTCTGTGCCTTTACACATGCTATTATCTGCTGTGCTTACAAATACCACCTCCTCCTCTGTCACTGCCTCCCTTTTTCTGCTCCACTAGAGACAACACCCCTATATTCATTCCCCAAACTCTGGACAAAATGCTGGGATCCTTAACAGGAGGTCTCTCCTCTGTGCTATAAACATGTTCCAATCGATTCATATACCTCAACTGTACTTGATTCGTTTCACATTTCTCTCTGTCTCCTACTAAAGTGTGAGTTCCTCAAGGACAGGATTATACATTGAATGAACAAACCACATTTGCTAATTCTTTATTTTTATATTAACAAAACTGCACATAACTATCAACAGGGAAAACAAAAACAGTATTTCTAAAAGCTTTTAAAAAGTAAGCCCTCTACAGATATGAAGGTCTATCTAAATCCTTTAAGAATAAAAATCAATAGGGTGCCTGGATGGCCCAGTCAGTTAAGCATCTGACTTCAGCTCAGGCCATGATCTCACAGTTCCGTGAGTTCAAGTCCCACATCAGGTGAGCACGAACCCAGCTCTGGGTGAGCTCGAGCCCCGTTACAGGTGAACATGAGCCCCACTTTGGGTAAAAACACGAGCCCCACTTCAGGTGACCCTGCTTCTCTCTCTCTCCATCTCTCTCTCTGCCCCTTGTGGCATTCTGTCTCCCTCTCTCTCTCTCTCTGCTCCTCGTTCACTTGCATCCTCTCTCTCTCTCTAAAAAAAGAAAAAGATTGGGGCGCCTGGGTGGCGCAGTCGGTTAAGCGTCCGACTTCAGCCAGGTCACGATCTTGCGGTCCGTGAGTTCGAGCCCCGCGTCAGGCTCTGGGCTGATGGCTCAGAGCCTGGAGCTTGTTTCCGACTCTCTGTCTCCCTCTCTCTCTGACCCTCCCCCATTCATGCTCTGTCTCTCCCTGTCCCAAAAATAAATAAACGTTGAAAAAAAAAATTTTTTTTTTAAAATAAAAAAAAAAAAGAAAAAGATTAAAAACAATTTAAAAATTTTTAGTTTAAAAAAGAAAAAAAAAAAACAATAATTAACAAAGAGATACTCCTGCAAAAAAAATTTCACTGAACAGAACTCTATTTCTGTAATTTGCATTGCTGCACTAAAACTTTCACAAAAAGTAAAAGTAAAATATCTTTAAGGGGCACCTGTGTGGCTCAGTCGGTTAAGTGTCTGACTTCAGCTCAGGTCATGATCTCACAGTTCAAGAGGTCAAGCCCCCCATCGAGCTCCATGCTGCAGGTGCCAAGTCTGTTTGGGATTCCCACTCTCTCCTCTCTCTCTGCCCTTCCCCCCACATGCACTTTCTCTCTCCCAAAATAAATAAACTTAAAAATATATGTTCCTTTGAGAATTTAAATGACACATATTAATATCAGAAATTATATACAGTCTGTGCCTCAGGATGCATTATTTTCATTCTGCCAGCAACGGTGAAGAGACACCACCCAGTAACATTCAATGACTCTTGGTCTTCAGTAGCCAAGGTCATTTCTAGAACTTACCTCTTTTTATTCTTGCTTCCTTTATTTCTTCACAGAGTTTATTAAATTCTGGATCCAATTCAGCTGCAATGATGGCATGTGCAGTGTCCTTCAGGGTACAAGCCCTGTGTCTAATTATTTTATCTGTTAAAAAAAGTTGGTATACATTTATTATACATATGAATGAAATAACATTAACAAAGGGCATTTAAAAAAGAGAAACAAAAGAATACAAACACTTAAATAAAATTGTAAAAAGCATTTCTGGGTGAGAAACAAGTTCATTTAAATGATGAGTAAAAAATAAATATAATAAGCCACTGAGTCACATTCAAAATTTTCTGAGAACTGTATTTTCAGAACTTCAAAGTACAGGTAACCCTTGTACAACACAGGGGGTTAGGGTGCCAACTCCCCCACACAGTCGAAAATCCATGTGTAGCTTTGGATTCCCCAAAAAACTTGCTAGTGATAGCCTAATACTGACCAGAAGTCTTACATGTAACATAAATAGTCCATTAACACATATTTTGTACGTTGTATATATCATACACTGTAGTCTTACAATAAAGTAAGCTAGAGAAAAGGAAATGTGAAGAAAATCGTAAGAGAAAACACACTTATAGTACTATCCTGCATTTACTAAAAAACATCCATGGTAAGTGGACCCAGGCAGTTCAAACCTATCTTGTTCAGGGTCAACTGAACTAATAAGCCTATTTAACAAATCATTATCTCAAAGATACAAAGCTTTACTTTATATTTTAAAAAACAAACATATATGATTTTCAATAAAAACTTTAAGAGATTTGGAGGATATTCACCATTATGTCCAGCACCAAAGTTGCCATAGATGGATACTGAGAATTCAGAAAATCTTAATTTTCTCCATTTAGTGAAAACTGGTAAAAACTGTGAAGAATATAATATATCCTAAGTCAAGATGACCTATCAAAAAACTAACAGAACTAGAAAAATACAGCAAGACACGCTAAGCTAAAGAATGCAAAATGGTAAATAAATTGTAGGTTGATCCGGGCAAGAAATACATACATCCTTTTAGGTGAATTATACCTAACATTGGTACTAAGTCTCTGCTTTACCCTAACCCAGAAGCCAGTATTCATCAACAATACAACCTAAAAAGTACGGTGTAGAGCTATGCAGCTCCAAGGTATTAAAAGTCAAGTAAGCATTATCGAGGCCACTTATTTTACAAAGTATCAAAAACTAAAACCCCAAGTCTCATAATAACATCTGCTTTTTCATCCCTAGTAATGGCAAAAAGTACAGACATTTTATGTATAATTTTTCTTGTTAGAAACTCCTAATAGTTCATTGTGGAAATCTTACAGTGTGCAACACTAAAAGGCAACACTGGTATATTTCTTTGCAACACATTTTCTCTGAACATTCATTTAATAAATGTTGTCGATTGTACCAGGAACTGAGCCAGGTGATGGCTAGATGGTAGTGAACAAGAGAGGTCTCCACTGTCAAGGAACTTTTTGGATGAGTATAGGAAAGAGGTATTAATCAAATAATCGCTCATACACACATATAAATAAATACTTCCCTCACCCCTTTCCTCACACCCCAAAACCCTGAATCATAGCTACAATGAAAACCCACATGGCATTTGGTGTGGATGCCAATTCGGATTGGACGAGTCAGAAAAGGCCTCTCTGAAGAAGCAGCATTTAAGCGAAGACTGAAAAGCCTGCACTGCGAGCCACTGAAAGAGTAGTGGGAAAACCAGTGCAGGCTCAGAAAACACCACGGGAGAAAGTTCTGGAGTAAAAAGATCTTGGAGATTTCAAAAAACTAAAAACTAGCCTCTGTGGTAAGAATACAATAAACAAGAGACAAATGGGAACCTGATTATATTTAAAGGATTCAGACTTTATCCTAAGAGCAACGAAAAAACGTCAAAAAGGTCAGAGCAGGGAAGTGACATGACTTAAGTGAACATCTTCTTAAGATCATCTCTAGCTATTACCTGGAAATTAGATTGAAGGGGTCAAGAATAAAATCAGGGAACATAATCAAGAAGGCTTTTTTTTTTTTTTTTTTTTTTTTTTTTTTTTTTTTTTTTTTAGTGAGAGAGGACAGCAAATTGAACCAGGAAGCTGTGGTGGTGGTGGTAAAGAGGAGATTACAGATTTGAGATATGTTCTCAATGACACAACTTGATGATGAAGTATGGGATAAGATAAGTATCAAAGATAATTCTCTAGTTTCTTGCATGAAAAATGGGAAAATAAAAAGTAACACAAAGATGCAAAAACTAGAGAATAAATAAAGACAGAAGGAGGAAAAGAAGTTAGAAATCAGAGTTAAGTTTAAAGAGGTTTAGTCTGGATACACATAAAAAATATCCAAAGGAGGTATCATGAATATATGGAGATAAATGAATATAGGTCTCACAAACTTATGACCCAAAAACCACAACAGCTGTGTAATCTGAATTTATTATTTCACATATTGTACTTCCCTAAATCTTTTTTTAAAAAACTAGATCTATTATGGCATAGAAAAGATATATTAAAGTACACATATTTAAAGTATACATTTTGATCACACCAAAAAAATACCTAGAAATAAACCTTAACAAAGAAATGAAAGACCTATACTCTGAAAACTATAAAACAGTCAGAAAAGAAACTGAAGGTAATACAAACAAATGGAAAGATATCCAAGCTCATAAATCGAAATAATTAGTATTGTTAAAATGTCTATACTACCCAAAGCGATCTACAGATTCAACACAAAAAACCTATCCCTGTCAAAATACCATTTTTCACAAAACTAGAACAAATAATACTAAAATGTGTATGGAACCACAAAAGACCCTAAAGAGCCGAAGCAATCTCTGAAAAAGGAAAACAAAGCTGGAGGTATCACAATTACAGATTTCAAGATACACTACAAAGCTGTAAGAATCAAAACAGTTTGGTACTAGCACAAAAACAGACAATACAACAGAATAAAAAGCCCAGAAGTAAATACATGCTTATATGGTAAATTAACCTATGACAAAAGAGGCAAGAATATACGTGAGGAAAAGACAGTCTCTTCAACAAATGGTGTTGGGAAAACTGGATAGTTATGTGCACAAGAATGAAACTGGTCCACTTTCTTACATCGTACACAAAAATAAACTCAAAATGGATTAAAGACTTAAATGTGAGACCTGAAACCATAAAATTCCTAGAAGAGAACACAGAGAATTTCCCTGACATCAGCCACAGCAACATTTTTCTAGATATGTCTCCTCAGGCAAGGGTAACAAAAACAAATTTAAGCTATTGAGACTACACCAAAATAGATGGTTTATTTTTGACAGTTTATTCTCAATGTGATTTATGTGATTGTTAGTAAAGTTGCTGTTTATTTTCTACTTGTCCCATATGCTCTTTGTTCCCTTTTCCCGCTTTCTCTCACTTCATTTGGATGTGTACTCATTTACGATCCCATGTTATCTCCTTGTTGATTTATTAGCTCTAATTACTTGCTGCACTTCTGCTAGCCCTGTGTGAGCTTGAAGGAATATTCCCTTTCTCTGGTCTCAGGTCGTTTCCTCAAATGTATACACCAATCAGTATTCAGCTGCCGACTGGAGGAGGCTCTTCTGATCTCCAGAGTGCTCTCTCTGGGCAGATTTCTTTCTTTCTACTCTGAGAACTCTCCTACTATGACCTCCTTATATTCCCAACTCTGTCTCTGTCAGGTACACTTCCAGACTCTGCCTGGGCCCTTCCTTCCTGGACTACAGTCTGGAAACTCTCCAGGCAACTACAGTGCTCAACTTCTGGTTTCTCATCTTTCGGAGATCACTGCCCTTCATTTCTTGCTATCATGGCTTCAAACTTGTTTTTTCATACACTTTGTTCAGTTTTTTCATTGTTTCAGGTAGGAGAGTAATTCAATCCCTTTTACTACACCACAGCCAAAATCAGAAGTCTCCTGATAACTGTCAAATATTCTTTGAGAACCAAACTATAAAAGCTGTGTAAAAATCCAAAGTAGCATGTGTTTTAATTTTTCAAAATTATTGTTCTACTGTTATAAGTTTTAAGTTGCGGGGTGCCTGGGTAGCTCAGTCAGTTAAGATTCCTACTCATGAATTCTTCTCAGGTCACGTTCTCACAGTTCGTGAGTTCAAGCCCTGCGTTCAAGCACAGAGCCTGTTTGGGATCCCTCCTCTCCTGCTTCCCCCCACCCTCCTCAGCGCACACTCTCTCGCTAGCTCACTCCCTCTCAAAATGAACAAACATTTTTTTTAAAAAAGGAAGTTTTAAGCTGCTTCAAATTTTAGCTACTACACATAAAAACCTACAATAAATACCCTTAGAAGTAGCTATACCTTCAAGCCAATAACACAATGTTTGTGGTGCAGGGGATACCACAATTTTCTGCCACTGACTTTCTACCTCAGCTTGAAAACAGCTAAGAAAGAGGTAAGATTAAATATAAAGCCATGATCTACCTAGCATATTATCACTCTAAAATTAACTCAGTAACTTTCTTTTTGCCTTTTTAAATATATGCCTCCCACCCACATTCCATTCCCAATTAAATGGGAAATGAATGAATGAAAAAAAAATTCCATAAAAATTTCCCACTGGTCTGAAGGACAAGGAATTTATTCTAAAGAGATCTGCATTTGATGAGGAAACAATATTTTTCATGTGCCTATCATAATTATTTTCTATCATAATTATTTTTAATCATTCTTGCCTTAGAGCTGTGTTTTTGTTTATACACAGCAAAGAATCATAAGCTTACAGAATATTAAAACTAGAAGAGATGTCATGTCTTAGATCTTCATCTTTTTTGGAGATGTAGGGGGGTCATCTGAGATCCTTATAAGCATGTGATGAAAACGAAAAATTATACAGGTATACAATTTTGGATGTAGTTGTTCAGAGACTCTCTCATGGACATCATACCTAAAATCCTTGCTTTACAATTGTGCATGAATATAAGCTACATATTTGCCAACTCTTTTGTCTTGTACTTTATGATCTTAAGATTCTCAAAATCCAGGTAATAAAACTACACACATTCGCTTTAAAGACAGAACTCAATCCACTCAGTTATGCCATATAACATTTGTGACTTTGCATACAAATTACATAATC